AGAGAGAGACAAAGAGAGATAGAGGAGCATAGACAGGTTTCAGTTGGTCTAAACTCCATTTTCTTGCAGTGACTGTGCTGTGTTGTGATGTGATGTGTAAGCAGAGATTAGCTTTATGAAACAACCTCTGTTGACTCAATTTATTGAATTTTACTGTTCTGAATACCAATAAAGAATATGATATTTACTCTGCAAACAGCAGAGCACTGTGTGCAGTCAGTGTGTGTGTGTGTGTGTGTCAGTGTGACTCAGTATCTATGTCATTTATTAGGTTTGTGTGAAAACAATACACACTCACATTCAGTACACTGTGATCATGTAGATACAATTATTACTTCCTTACTAACGCGTGTCTGTGTGCCACACGTGTGTTTGCACGGATCATTTTCTGATGCACACATTCATATAACATATATTTATACAGACACAAACATTATTTTTAAGCATTATCTGCTTGTATGTCTGTCTGTCTGTGTGTGTGTATGTGTGTGTGGGCGCTGATCTGAAGCAAGATTTATTAAAAGACGTTACTAAATGGAATGGGTCATAAAGTACATTACAATCATATTGATTCCTGTGTCTTGTCTATCTGTATGTTTTGTTATTATTAATAATATTTTCAAAGCAGAACTATGTTTTACTATTTTGTACAAAAAGTCTTTTTACTGTATGAACTGGAAAACTCTTCACCTGTCTAATATTTATGTCTCACACCTCCAATAATGATGTATTCTGAAACTCTCTGGAATACTGCGTGTGTTTTATGTACAGGACAGGACAGTGCTTCGGCTCTGTTTGTACACTGTACATCTATGTCTGAATGTACAAGACACTGATTAAATATGTCTATCATTGAGGATGTGATGTTCAGTGTGTCAAAGTGAGTGCAAGAGATGTGCATGATCGTCTGAGGACAGGTTAAGAGAGACGTTGAAGATGGAGGAAAGGATGGGCTGTAAAAATCTCCATCTTTATATGCTGTTTCTGCCAATAGATCCTCCTAAATGTTATACACTGGGCCTTTAAGTTGGTAAGTATGTTTTTTTTTTAAGATAGAGGCACTTAATTGCTGGAAACAAACCTGTTTATCTGGTAGATATTTTCTCTTGCAAGTCCAAAGAGATAGTGGTGTGCTCAATCGGATGCACTCAACAAACACTGCTCGTGAAGGAAAAGCACTGAAATCTTGCAAAAGAGCAAATTTAGACGAGCAGGGTGTAATGTGGTTTTTTGAGAAATTCAAAAAGAAACAAAAAGGATACAAATGAGGAGACAACACCTGAGCCTGATTGCATAGTGAGTGTCATTCAGAAAATAGTTCCCCAAAACTCACACACCAAAACATTTAAATCCTTTTTTTTTAATAAAATGTAAAATATAAAATAAATACATTATTTTTATTTCACAAAAAGTGTCTGAAACCAATTTCCTCATTCAGACCTAGTACAAAAAAGACAAAGTAGTATAGTAGTAAAAAGTATTATCTTGAAGGACATCTTTACCAGCTGTTTCTGTGCAAAGCTAACTAAAACTTAAAATAGGGTTGAGTCTCCCTCTCTTCTGTCTTGTTACGTCTGTCGTGTGTGATAAAAAAAAAGAAGTAAATAATTCCTCTCTGCATTAAAACTGAAGTAACTAGCCTGTAAGGAGTAGAAAGTACAGATATTTAAGCAAAAATGTAGGAGGTAAAAATATAAATAATTATACTACTAATTATAAGTACAGATACCTGAAAAAAACTACATGTACATACAGTAACAAAGTATTTGTTACTTTCACCTCTGTGGATTAGATTCTGTTTTTTATATACTATATATATTTTTTATATTATATATTAAATGTTAAGCACAAACTGTTTTTTTTTGCTGTCTCTCGTGTCATTTAAATTAGAAATACTATTCAACAAAACAGGCAAACAGTCTGTGTATGGAAACTTGTGTGTTTATTTCAAAATATTCCTGTAACACATTTGGGACAAAATAGGCTTGAACACAGTGAGTTTGATGCTTGGAAACCACACACAATAGAGATAGTACATGCTGTACATCAAGAGTTTCATCAGTAATCAGGTATTGCACGAGCCTCTGATCTAAGGTATGTTGTACAGTGAACACCATGTGTTATTACTATAATTGTGCAGTGTAAAACTGTTTGGCTCTGAGAGCTCTGAGCAGAGGGTTTGCCAAGGACAAGCGGACAAAATTGGCATTCCACATGAAAAGAGGTTATAACTTGAGAATGTTTTTTGTGAATTGTGTGATACATCACAGGATGGTGGATCGCAGAGCCCTGGGCGACAGGGACAAGGTGACTGTCACTGACTCATTATTAGGCTCCCCCTGAGATGAAGGCAGCTCGCCTCAGTGCTGACTCACTCTATAACACACAGCCCCCATCTCAGGGTTCCTGGGAACACACTTAAAATCACACTTCTTCTGAATTTAAAGTCATTATCAGTGCTTTACACAACCCTTTGTTCTTCTACCTCTGTTTTATCTAATACCATGCAGTTCCTATTATCACACTGATACAGTGCTATGTAAATTTACATTGAACCTAATCTAAATTGTATTCTGTCTAGGTTTTTTTTTTTCTGACAACCAGAGGTGGAAAGTAACTAACTACTTGTACTTGTGCTGAGAATCAATTAGTCGATCAACAGAAAATAAACTGCAGACTATTTTCTTTCAATTAACTGGTTCTCATGCATTGAGCAACAACACAAAAGACTCTACAGCCATGCTGGTGGATCTGTGTGACTGTACTTAAAGCCCCTTCAAGGAACTTTCTTTTTGTGTTGATTCTGGCGGCCCCTGTGAACAAAAGTGGTAATGTTTCTACCAACTTGTGTCATTGATTTTGAGGGGATCCGCCCTGGAAGCAGGAATTAATAACTACAAAGAAATAGCCAATCTTCGGCTAAACGGATGGTCTCCTGTGCTTATGTATGTCATATAGAGGCATCAGTATTCAATTATTAGACTGTTTCATAACCAGTTAAAAACTCCTTGTAGTAGGTTTAAGCACAACTAGGCTTTGAGCTAATTGCTAATTTCAGCATGCTAACACTCTCACAAAAACAATGCTAACATGCTGATGCTTTTTCATTGTAAAACCTAAGTATTAGGCAAATAAGACGTTTCACTAAAGATGTTGTTAAGAAACATCAGCGAATCACTAAAGTTATTACAATTAACTCTCATGGGAATGTGAACGTGTGTCCGAAAGTACGTAGCAATTCATCCAATAGTTGTTCAAAACCTCATGGTGGTGCTAGAGGAAAATGTAGGTCTGCCATTTGCATTCATTGACTTGGAACCATTAATATCTGTCCTCTGGGAACAAATTTTCACGACAATCCATCCAATAGTCTTTGAGATATTCAGTGTGGATGAAAGTAGGAGACGCTGCCATGAAGTCACTAGTGTGGCTTCAATATTTGATGGTTCCAGCTCCTCAAATGTGAGCATTTGCTGTTTCTTGCTGTTTTATTTAACTGTAAATTGAATGTTTATGTGTTTTAGACTGCTGGTCGAACCACACAAGCTTTTAAAATCTGAATACATGTCCTACAGCTCTAGAAAATTGGCATTTTATAAACAATTAACCAAGTATTTGAAAAAGTTAGTTGCAGTCCTAGTTTTTTGACTATATTCTAAAATCAGTATTAGTATAGTAGACTTTTGATGTGTTCAGCTACTGCGTGACAGGCAAGAATAAAAGAGTAGGTTTATAAGAGAATACTTAGATAATATTTTAAAAAGCAATCTGAACAAAAGCTTATTACTTTGGAGAGCACTGGAAATGAACTGGTGATTGATAATAAAATAGGATGTTCCTTCCACATTGATCATAAAGTTTCTACCCTGAGAAGTCTTTAAAAGTGCTACTATTGTACTTTTACAGAGAACCACTGAGTAAGACTGTTTACAAGAACTAGTCACTTTCTACCTCTGCACACAACAGTTTTCTAAGGGGATAAATCTCAGCATCATCATGTGCTTCAGACCAGGATGCAGTCTGCTTATATGGGGGAATGTCTAAGTCTATACATTATTGATCAGTGCCTCGTCTAATGCCTTACAAATGGTCTCTGTCAGCTGTAACTACATGCAGATACGACTCTGGTACGTCAATCACAGAGACGAGGATGAACACATCGGGAGTCACACAGTGTGCTTATTCGGTAAGGACAGTAAGTTACATACAACACATGTTTTTCATATACAGCAGTAAAAAGCAGTGCTTGGTCAAGACTAGATGCTTTGGAGGGCAGGTGGAGAGGTGGAGGGGCACATGTGGATGAGTGTGTAAGGCATGACTGGCTGTTCTGGACAGGTGAACGGATCTGAACAGGGCATTGCAGGGGGGAAAGACGTAGGGAGAAGGACGGTCTCTGTTCTCTTTCTTGACCGTTCCAATTCTCCAGCTCTCTCCTCATGCCTTCATATCACTTCTTTCTCTTTCTCCTCTCCCTCTGTTGCTCTCTTTTATCCTCTCTGTGCTTCAGCCCGGGCTCATGAGTTGCACCCGCGCATGCTGGATCGCAGCATCAGAGTACACTCATGAGGGACTTCTGGGTTTTCAATCATGCGTTGCCACAGCCGCTGTTCCTCCCCGTATGAGTCCATCCAGTCTACCTCGTTCCCATAGCTTTTGCCTTGAGGGAAGACAAGAGACAAATATATAAACATTTGTTTCACTCTGTTAGAGCTACCAGGGAGCCCTGAGGACATTACAACACTTAGAGTTTTTGGATAGTAGATGAAGTGATATATTTGTAGTTAATTAATTTATCCTATATCATCATTTTCATAAAAGCCAGATCCAGAATGCTGCATATAAATGTTCAAACTATACTATAAAAGATTCATTAAAGATAAATAATAGAGTAAAATAATTTTGAACAGACATATATTGTATATTACTGGAGAATCAGAATAAATACTAATATCCATCCTAATAAAGAGTAAATATAATATATACTATACTATATGATATATAATATATATAATAATTAGTCCATCTTGTCTCCTAAAGGAACAGTTTGACACTTTCTTTCCGACAGTTCGATCAATGCTGCTCTCACGTCTGTACAGTGATATGAAGCTAAAACCAGCAGCCAGTTAGCTTAGCTTAGCATAATTGTGGTTTTATGTGGGGTCATGTGCTACGGTTTTGTACGGATTAAGCAAAGATTTAACATGTTAATTAGTGAGCTTTAGAGGTTCTGAAAGGTGGATTGTGTTACCTTTGGACAGAGCCAGAGCTAATTGTTCCCCCTGTTTACAGTCTTTATGAGAAGCTAGGATAACTGGCTGCTGGTTTTAGCTTGAAATTAAAGGGACACATATAAGAGTGGTATCAATCTTCCCATCTAACGCTCAACAAGACAGTGGATAAGCGTATTTCCTGAAATGTAAGTATTTCTTTATTATCTGTATGCCAGAATGTTTCAGGGTTATATTGAGCCATTTCGTTGAAAATAGACACTTTAAGTCACTGTAGTGTGTACAATACAAAAGAAAATGGGCCTCACTTTCCACTTCTTCCAAATCACACAGCTCACAATTTGTTTTCCTTCTGAAAACTTTTTAATCTGCCAACCTCAGAAACCAGAGAAAGAATACCAGCTCTCAACTGTGCAACTAAAGATCTTTGGCTTCCAGATAAGTGAGGCGTAACCTAGGATTCACAACTGTATTTTGGTATGCATATGTCTTACATTTATTGATTAAGCGCTACAACACAGATTATTCCTGAAGATATGCAGCCTCCTCAAAGTTCCAGTAAATCTCTTCAGCCCACAGAGAGCTGTGCAACATTTCACATTTTAACCACCTTATTTGAAATGAGACCTTGACCATGAGAAAACACACACCTGTGCCAGCTCCGAGCCTGACTCCTCCCAGGAAGACATTGCTGGCCAGGGCTTCTTTGTCCCACACAGTGAGCTCCAGGCAGACGTTGTTGAGGTCTCCGGGCTGCAGGCCGCAGTAGGTGAAGGTGTGGTTCCACTGTGGGTTCACAGTGCGTCGCTCCACCACGGTCTTGTGCTTGGTTGATTTGTTGGTGTCAGGGAGGAGGTATCTGTAGAAAAAGATACAACTTTATTTTACAATGGTCAGGCTGTGTTATCTTCTCCCTTCCCTAACAGGGTCAGAAGGGGGTAGGTTGTCTGGGTACAAAGGCTCCAAGCTGTGACTGTAACATGTTTTAGTAAATGAAGACAGAGAGACACAAAACTACAACAAAGAGATGCTAAATTAACACATAGCAAAATGTTCACAAAGAGATACCCGACTACAAAGAGACACAGAACAACTACAAAGATGCAAAAAAACATTGCAAAGAAAAGCACAAAGAGAAGCAAAACATCCACTATGAGACAAAAATGACTACAAAGATACACAAAACAACTACAAAGTGATACAATGTAGGATTGGGGTGTTTCTATGTATCTGTGTTGAGGGGCCTGGTGTTGTCTCATTATCTGTCTATTGCTATAGGCTATTTGGAGTTAGAAAATTGCTAATATTTATTGATATTATTTCACATTAGAATTAACTTTAAAAAGTACAGGTTTTAATTGACAATAATTGTGGCTTTAAAAGGGAGTCTGGCCCCTATTGAAAACTCACCCTTTCACAAAAGGATCAGAAGTGCCTCCAGACTTGACTGCAGTTAGATTTTTGGCTCCTTTGACTAGCAGCTCAACCATGCCCCCTTTAGGCAGAGTGAAGCTGCTCGTCTTCTTGCCTTTCAGGAACCCTTTCTTCACTGAGGAGGCAGGGAAGCAGACAGAGAGAGAGAATAAACAATCTTCAATTCAAGGTTCAGGTTTATTTATATTTACTTCAGAAACAAATCAAGTTTGTAGTATCAGTCACAACCTGGCCTCAAAATCTGTTGTCAATAATGGCTAATAACTCTTCTATAAAGCAAGACTGTGTTTTTTTTTTATGATTCTTTATCCTGGTTATCCTGACAACTTGCAGGGTCCACAGAAATTGTAATTTTTTAATTTTAAAATTAAATTGTGGCGGATGTTACCAACCTTTTTAGGTCGGATTGAGGGAAGGAAAGAGCTTAATTTGCGATATAACTCCACCTTGGGAATGTTGTAAACTAAATAAAACTGTTAACAAGCTGCCTTCCAGTGGTGGGTCACTCATTATTACAAATTCATGCTGTGCAGACAAACATTAGTCAAAACCACAAAACTTCATTCTAAATTCTAGTTAAGAGCCGAAGGTTTCCAAATATACCAAAATGAAATGACAATAAATATAAAATGATCCACAAGACAACTTGAATATTTAAAAATGATGGACTGAAGCAGTCATAATAAAAAGGGGGCCTTTAATTTGAATATTTCTCTCAGTGTAAACATCATATAGCTTCAATAGAGAGGTGATACAGAATATATTGAATATGATACTGTCAGACTGTGTGTAGAGCTGAACAATATTTAAAAAAAGATTGAACACAATATGAGTTAGAACACATAATATAATATATTTTAATCATCAGCGTTATGAATGTACCTTGTACTTGATCCAGAGGCAGCGTGAGGTTCTTCTCTGCAGGTATGTACTTCAACACAACAGTCAGTTCTCCTTTATACTGCATTGTCGAGTCTATACTGCCCTCCACCTACACAAACATAATTCACAATCCTCACAAAACTTATATATAAAATGTAGAAAGAACGAAGCAACATGTGTGATGGCATGCTGCTGATTCTGGGTCCTACCTTAGGCAGCAGAGCGTACCACTCCTCTATTTGGGAATCAAACTCCCAGGAGTCAAACGTCAGCTCCACCTCTCCCAGGAAGCTGTTGTGTCCAAACCGGTCGTGATGCCACACAGAGACCTGCAGGGTTCGTGTCTCCAGCTGCGAGTGGCTGATTACGTACTACACAACGCAGGACAAATATGAGCTTAAAGATAAAAGCTTTGAATTCAAAGAATAACCATTGCGAGTCTGTGCTGAGTGAGTTCTTTCAGCCACTCACCCTCAGATTTTCATTGAAAACAGGGTTAATGGTGTTGGCCTTGATGCTCGTCTTCCTCTTGCTCTGTCGGGATGTATCTGGCAGCAAGTAAGTCTTCACATAACTGCCATGAAAAAGACAGTGACTCAGTTGGCCTCCACCAAAGGAAGTGGAAATGATTTGTTCTTGAAATATCAGCTGCCCCAGATTTATTACAGTAGATGCTCGTCTGAACAATTATGGAACAGTAAATGACTATAAAAACAACTAAAACAAAATACTGTGAACTTGAATTAAATTTTTACATGTTTTTTTTGTTGCTTTTTCTTTACCAGGATATTAATTTAATCTCTGTGTGTTCAAAATAAATCTCCATCAAAGGTAGCATCTAAAAAAGCTAACAGAGCTTTTGTCTTGTGTATGTAACATGAAGAAATTATTTAACCACTTTTTAATAGGACACCCTTTATATACTAGAAATGCATGCTATGCATTTAATAACATCATATTAATCTTGGTATGTGTGTTCCTGTAGCGTGTGTGCGTGCAGTCGTACGCGTCAGTGCGTTGCCTCCTCTCATCTCCTGTTGCCAGGTTGTGACACTCTTTCACCAGGACATTGAGAGCACCAGTTTTGTAGCTGTAGCTGATGTTCAGCAGGATCTCGCCGCTCACCCTGGCGTTGCCATAGTCACCAGTCTCACTGTACATACTCATCATGCTGTTTATACTACTCTGTTAGGCAAAGACAGGAGATAGAGAGGGGGGGAAGGTCAGAGGAGGAAAGGAGAGAGGGAAAGAAAACAGAGAGCAACACATGAGGTATAAAGCATGAGAGAGAGGGAGAGAGAGAGAGAGAGAGAGAGAGAGAAGGGGGAGAAAACAACAGCATCTAAAGCATTATAGAATGCTGATGAAATATGGTGGAAATAAAACAGTTGCAGCCTTTTGTGAACTTGAATGTGTCAATACATGGTAATGTACAAGGTCGTATACTGTAGACTGTTGGAGACACAGGGGGAGATAAGGTTCCTTAAGTTTATATATATATATTGTCAATGGTATATAGATAAATTAAAGACATATATACATGACTCTTAGTGAAACCTGTCTGGATAAATAAAGAGTTAAAAAATAAACTATCAATGTGGGCAGTAAATTATTATATATATATATATATATATATATATATATATATATACCTGGAAAGCCTCCTTTACAGGAATAAGATAGTAAGTTGCTGCACATG